GATTGGTGAGTTAATTCTGTGTCCTGGAAACATGTTTGCTGTCTCAGCATGGGAAGTGGGACGTGGCACAGGCTGCTGTGGGGCAGTCTGGGCAGGATTGTCCCTGGATAGCAGTTGACAGTGACTTCCCCGAACGATGCGCCCTGTGTTGTTTTATTTCCCGCACTGCTTTGCATAAAAATTTGGGATAACTTTTAAGGTTAAAAAAATAAAGAGGAGGCATCAGAAAGAAGGGAAGTGGTGATGTGGAGTTCAGGGCTGAGGGACAGAAGGAAGGGAAGTGGTGATCTGGAGTTCAGAGGTGGGGGACAAGGCAGGGGTGATCTGGAGTTCAGGGCTGGGCCTTGCGGATGCTCCTGTGGCTGTGACAGCTGTTTCTGTGTCCTGAGCTCAGTTAGACCTGGGGGCTCTGGGTGCTTACTGCAGGCCCCTGTCCGTGTGCCTCTTGGAGGTCACCCCAAGTCTTCCGAGCCCCGGCAGTTCCCCCATCCCCTGTTTTGGCCGTGCTGGGAGCTGATGGATGTGCCACACGGGTGGCTCTCGTGCAGGCGTGCTGGACCAGCGGGAAGCTCTGACCACCCTGGGCAAGCGGCTGGCACAGATCTCCACGGACCCTCGGCTGGCCAAGGCCATCGTGCTGGCCTCCATCTACCGCTGCCTGCACCCGCTGCTGGTCATCGTGTCGTGCCTGACGCGGGACCCCTTCAGCAGCAGCCTGCAGAACCGCGCCGAGGTGGACAAGGTGAGCATTCCCCCGGCAGGGAGGGGAGCTGGGCCGGGGGCTGCCCGTGGCTCAGTGTGTCCCTGTCCCAGGCCAAGGCCGTGCTGAGCCGGGAGAGCGGCAGTGACCACCTGGCCTTCGTGCGGGCGGTGGCGGGCTGGGAGGAGGTGCTGCGGCGCAGGGACAGCCGTGCCAGGGACAACTACCTGCAGGACTACTACCTGTACGGGCCCAGCCTGCGCTTCATCAACGGTGAGTTCAGAGCCATCCCGCCCCTCCCTGGCCTCAGGCGCTGCTGCACAGGGAGGGACACGGGCACAAATGGGCTGTGCTGGGCCGGCAGCCACGGGACCGGGCAGGGTCTGGCTGTGGCGCAGGACAGTCTCCTGTCCCAGCCCGGGCTGGTGCTGCCCTGCTGAGGTGACTCATTCCATGGGGGGAAGGAGAGGGTGAATCTCATCCCTGGGGCTGTCTCCTCCCTCCAGGCCTCGTCAAGCAGTTCTCTGAGAATCTCTATGAAGCCTTCCTGGTGTCATCCCCGTCTGACTGTACCATGCCCTCATCTGTGTGTAACCAGTACAGTGAGGAGGAGGAGCTGGTCAAGGGTGTCCTCATGGCTGGGCTCTACCCCAACCTCATCCAGGTACTGGCACTGCCATCGCTCTCTGGGGATGGCTGTCACAGCAGGTGGCACCGGGAAGTGCTGAGGTGCCAGAGAAGCTTCTGCTCTCTTGGGAGTGAGTGTCCAAGCCTGGGCTCCAAGGTGTCCTGCCCTGGGCTCCAGCCTGTGCTCCAGTGCTGTCCCTGATCCCCACTCACGGGGAGTGGCCACCCCAGCTTGTGTGGGTCCATGTTTAGGTTCTCATCCCTGGGTTTGGGAGCCATTGAAGTGGCATTTTTCTCCTGTTTGCTGCCTGAGGTGGCATCTTGCTCCTCCTGTTGTCGCTGGTGGCACTGAGTGACTGCCAGGTGTGGTCACCCCAGGAACACTCCACTAACCCATGGACCTCCTGGGAGTGGAGGGACATCATCCCCCTCCCCCTGTCAGAGGGAGCTGTGGCTGTTAGGGCTGCTGCTGGTGCAGGTGTGTGACAGTCCCCTCCCCTGGCAGGTGAGGCAAGGCAAGGTGACACGCCAGGGGAAGTTCAAGCCCAACAGTTACGCGTACCGGACCAAGGCCGGCACCGTGCTGCTGCACAAGTCCACCATCAACAGGTGGGTGCTCGGGGAGGGGGGTCCCACGGGGCAGGGACTGTCCTGGGCTGGCCAGGCTGACAGAGCTGCTCCTGCAGGGAGGCATCCAAGCTCTACAGCCGCTGGCTCACCTACTTCATGGCCGTCAAGTCCAACGGCGGCGTCTTCGTGCGCGACTCGTCCCAGGTGCACCCGCTGGCCGTGCTGCTCATGACTGACACCGACATCCACGTGCGAGGTGAGTGCCCGGGGCACCCCGCCTGCTCCAGCTGCTCCCCGGGCTGGGCACGCCCTGCTTCCCGAGGCTCTCGGGCTGGGCACGCCTTGCTGTGGAGGGGCCACGGAGGGGATGGTTTGTGAGCTGTTCCCAGCTGCTGCTCTGCAGGGAGACAAAGCCAGCCCCGGCAGGCTGAGCCTTGGGGCTGTGCCTGATCATCCTGGGGCAAGGAGCTGAGCTGGCAGCATCCCACATGTTCCTGGGGATGTGTCTGTTCAGCCTGTGGGGTTTTGGCAGTGCTGCAGTCGGTGTCTAGCCCACGAGCTCTGTAGGGCTATGCCATCGGTCACCTCCTGTGGGAAACAGGAGGATCCCAGTGTGTGCTGAGCTGCCTGGCTTTTGTGGAGCTGTTGGCCCAGTTGAAACGAGTGTGGGGAGGAGCTGCCTCGGGGGCAGCGGAGGAGCCCCAGCAGCCCCGATCCCCCTGACACGCTCTCCCTCCCCCCAAGATGACGGCTGGCGAGCGACGGTGTCCCTGACGGACAGCGACCTGCTGGTGCTGGAGGGGGACTCCTACACCATCCGCCTGCTGCGCGACTTCCGCGTGTCCCTCTCCAAGATGGTGGAGACGTGCCTGTGCTACGAGATGGCCGCGATCCCCGGGGACCTGCACCACCAGCACAGCCAACTGCTCGACATCCTGGTGGATCTGCTCAAGGGCCCTCCCGGCAGCTTCGGCTCGTAGGCGGAGCTGCAGCCTCGTGTGGGGACTTGTAATTTGTATAAAGATGTTCACAAATGTTTATTTAAATAAAGTTCTATTTATCCCTTGTGAAGTCATCTCTCTCCATCCTAGAAGATTAATGTTGTCTGAATCTCCTGCTGTCGGCTCCGTGCATGGTCACCGCGTGGGAAGAGCAGCGCAGTCCCGCCGGGAATGGACTGGGAGTGCCGACGGACCCCGGCTCGCGGACACCCCCGCCTCCTCCGCCGTCCCTGACCGGGAGCAAGGCCACGGCTGCTGCGGGCTCCTCTGCCCCCTCCCCACGGGGCCAGAGCCCCGGGCTCAAGAGGAGGACGGATGTCCCGGCTGTGCCAGGATGGTGGATGCAGCAGCTCCGGCAGGGAGGGGATCGCTGATCGTTGTCTCTCCACTCCACATGGAGGAAGCCCCGAAAGCAGCGGATGGAGAGGAATTCCACGCGGGATCCGAGGGGCCCTGCCAGCCCCAGCACAGTCGTGGCGTCTGAGTGTGAGATGTGACTCGTCCTTCCCAACCTGCCTGTACTTCTCGTCCTCTTGCGTTGTTCCTACGACTTTTTTTTTAATTCCTGTTCTCCCCACGTGGAGGAGGCCGGATCCCTGTCCCTTGTGCAACACAGGACGTGATTGTAGCTGCCAGGCTGCCTGTGAGCGCCGCTCCTGCGGGAAGCCAGGAGCAGAGGCACAAAATCCTTTGTTTTCTATGAACAGGGACCATATTTCTGTGGAAGGAGGATTGCGACAGGCACAGCACTCACTGAGGAATCTGGAGTTTAATCCCAGCTTTGCCTTGGATTCTCTGTCCGAAGAAGACAGTGACCTACCTCACAGGGCTGTTGTGAGGGTCGGGGTTTGTAACGGGAGCCCTCGGGCCCAGGGCTGTGCCCCCCGGGGCCTGGGCTCCTTTCTTTTTATTCCCATTTCTTACGCTCTTTGTACCTGCAGCAGGGAATGGGAGCGAGGCCGTTTCCATGGCACTGGGGCTCCTGCCCCGCGCCCCCCGGGGCCACCCTTTGGTTCTCCCAGTTCTACCATTTAAGTTCTGCTCATGGGCTCCAGGGCGCCGTGGCTGTGCCAGCACAAGGCCCGGGGGCCCCTCCGAGGCTCCGCTGCCCCCGGAGTCCTGCAGCCTGGGGTCACTCCAAACTGCTCATCTTCATTTCACTTGCTTGAGGTTGTCACTATTATTTGACCAGTGTTTGTTTCTTTTGGCCTGTATAATGGGCAGTATGGTTTTCCCTTCCAGCAGGTTTAAAAAAAAAAAAGAAAAAAAAGGACAAAAAAAAAAAAAGACTAAGCTATTGTCTAAATGGTTCCGAACTAGTGTGATATTGGGATACTTCCGTGGCTGTTATGTGATACTGGATCTTTTTACAACATAGATTAAAGACAATAAAAAGGGATAGAGTAGGAACTGTTTCTGTCCTCTTCATTCTTTTTTTACTATTTTTTCTTTTGCAAAGGTTGGAATCCTTTCCCTGAGTAGGGAAGACTGCTTCTCTGCTGGGAGTGCTCTGGGGCTGTGGGGGAGTGAGGGGCTCCAGGGGCCCCAGCCACCCCGAGGGGACAGGGGGCACAGGGGGCTGGCACTGAGGGACAGCTGCTGGGGGGACATGTCCTGGGGCTGCTGCTGCCTGGAGAAACCAGCCCAGCGTGTCCCAGAGCTGCCCATGTGTGCCCACCAGCCCAGGGTGCTCCTGTGCCCGTGTCCGGGGCAGCTCCCACAGCAGCGCTCAAGGAGGGGCACAGGAGCGGCTGCTCCAGGCACGGGGACCTGGAACTTGGGTCACAGTCCCGTTTGGGGTCTCGGGTCAGGTCCAAGCCAGGGTGGGAAACCTTTCCTTTATCTGTGCCGTGCTGGTACCTCCGGCTGTGCTATGGGCACCGAGGCTCCCACAGGGCCCATGTCAGCCCAAAGCCCCCTCCCCTCTGCGCCCAGGCTTGCGGAGCAAAGCCAGGGATGGGAATTCTCCTGTGGCTGAAATCAGACACCGAAATCCCTCCAGCGCTTTCCTCAGCCCTCTGCCAGCACCACAGCGGGCACCCCGGGCTGTGCCAGCGCCCGCCCGGCCCTCCCGCCCCACAGAGCCACAGCAGCCTGAGGAGGAACATCTAGAAGCTTTATTTCAACCCTTTACAATAGTAAGAATCACAACATCAAGTCAGGAAATGTTGCTAAGGAGACGACGCTCTCACAGCCCCCGGGGAGGGGAGACACAAAGGCAGAAGTTCCCGCTGGGCTCCCCCGGCCCCGGAGCTGCTGTCTCACACCAGCCCTGACCTCCCCTCCCAGCCCCGCCTCGGCGCAGGGACAGCGCAGTCCCCCCTCCTCGGGCACCGCGGAATAATCCTATGACACAAAATAATAACAACACGTCACATTTAGAGAACACGTCACGCGCTGCTCGCGCCTCACAACAGCCCGGTGAGGTAAAATTGAATCCCTCCCCACCTTTGCAGATGGGGAAACTGAGGCAGAGAGGTTGAGTGGCTTCCCGAGACCGCGGAGGGAGCCGAGGGCCGGGATCGCCCCCGGGGCGCTGCCCCGAGCGCTCCTGGCCGGCCGCACGCCCCCAGCCCGGCTCACTGCGCTCGCTGCTGGCTCGGTGCTCTGCGGGAGGGACAGCGGGGGCTGCGGGGGCTGCGGGGCGGCCTCGAGTGTCACCTCGGCCGGCGGGACCCGTGCGAGGAGGGCGGAAGGCGAGCGCTGCCCGGGCTGGGCTCAGGCGGGGAGGGAGGAGGGAGAGCCGGAGCCCCTCAGAGCCCTGTCCACGCTGCCGCTGCCGCCCGGAGCCACCAGGCCCTGGGGACATTTCCCCTGAGCCTGGAGGTGCTGGGTCCCAGCCACAGCCGCTCGGCCCTGGGGACATTTCCCCAAGCCTGGAGGCCGCTGAGCTCCGCCACGGCCGCTCGGCCTCAGCGGGGACTCGGCGCTGCCCTCAGGCGAGCCGCGTCACCCCGAGAGCGCCACCGACACCAAGCTCCAAGAAAAGCAGGAATTCTGCCTAGACACGAACACGCGAGGGTCCCGGGCCCCTCTCACACAGCACACTACGCGGGGACAGCGCGGGGGCAGCGTAGAAAAACTACATTCAGTTTGCGGCCGGGAGCCGAGTGGGAGCCGCGCCCTGGGGCGCCGCGGCCGCGAGCCACGAACTCGGTTACTCGAATGTTGATTTATCAGTACAAAAAGCCCAAAGAACTGTGCAGGTATGCCACTGATATGCCGGCAGGCGCCGGGCTCCGGCTGCTGCCGGCCGGGGAAGCGCAGCCCCGGCGGGATGGAGCTCGCACGGAGCCCCGCTGCTTCCCCCAGCCCGGGGCAGCTCAGCCCCTCCGCAGCTCTGCCAAGGCCTTTGCCGAATCCCGCCCGGAGCCAGCCACCAGCGCCCGCCCGGCCCCTGCCCGGCCAGAGCCCCCCGGTGCGGCCAAAGCCAGGACCCCCAGCTCGGGACAGGACCGTGTACATTCAACTTGCATCTCCTTCAGAGCTCAGCTCCTGCTTCCCCCCGGATTTGCTGCCTCCAGCCCTCCATGGAGCCGCCGGCGGCCGCAGCCCCTTCCCCAGCAGCGTTAAGGTCTCAGCACTACCCAGCTCATCCCACCTCTCCAGACAAGAAACTGAAGTCATTCCCACCACACACGGCTCCTTCCCAGCCTAGCAATATGTACAGCCGCTTCCTCAAAATAAAGTTAAAAAAGAAATCCGTATTAAAACTGAAGCTGTCCTAGAAACACCACGGCAAACTAGTGTATCTGGATTTAGTTCGTCAGCTAAACACAGGCACAACAAGTGTTAGAGAAGTGGCACAGAAGCACGGCCGGGGGCTGAGCTGGGCCGGGGTTTGGGCAGGGACAGCCTGGGCACCGCGCACAGCCACCGCCCGGCTCGGGAAATCATCGGAAATCATCGGAAATCGGGAAAAAGCAGTGCAGGGACAAGGTGACGTCACTGTCCCTGTGCAGCGGGGCAGGGCTCGTTTGATTTTTGCAATCTCAGAAGATAAAGTGCAATGTTGCCACTTGCCTTCCTCCTGCAGTCCCTGAGCCGGGACCTCGCCTGGGCACCCCGGGAATGTCACCCCAGGAATGTCACCCCAGGAATCTCATCCTGGGGCCACCCTGGGAATGTCACCCCAGGAATGTCACCCCAGGAATCTCATCCTGGGGCACCCAGGGAATGCCATCCCGGGACACCTCGGGAATTTCATCCTGGGACATCCCGGGCCACCAGAGGCCTGGGGTGCCCCAGGACGCGCAGCAAGAGGAACGCGACATCTCAGCCTCCACCTCCTCTTTGGTTGCCCACGAACATCTCCAGCCCAGCACACAAACTCTGCTCCCAGCGCCCCTCCTGGCCTGTGAGCCTGGAGCTGGGCTCCAGCCCTGCCAAGGCCACCCCGGCTGCTCCCAGGCCGGGAACCAGGAGGCTCCAGCCTGGGAACCAGGCTCCAGGCTCACCCTGGAGGGGCTCACCCTGCTCCTCTCCTCTCCTTCTGATTTCCCCTCAGTTCATGTTGGAAAAAAAACCCCAACCAAACGAAAGGCAAGGCTGCCAAGCTGAAGCTGGTGTGTAGAATTTAGCAGTGAAGCAAGAAGGAAGCGTCACGGGAGGGCAGTGATATATACCGGCTCAGGGGACGGACAGGGCTGGGCAGCGGGGCGGCTCCGGCTCCTCCTCCAGCCACGGCCGGCGGCTGCTCCGGGACACCGGGGACACACAGGGAGGGCAGGAGCCACGGCACCCGGCTGGGACCACAGCGATGCGGAGGGGAGTGGAAGGTGGGGAGGAGGAGGAGGAGAAGGAGGAGGAGGAGGAGGAGGAAGAGGAAGGGAAGCACTGGGAGGTCTCTGGGTATATATAACCGCCCCTTTCAGGTGCAAATCTGCATCGTTTAAATTTGTAATCAGATGAAAAAGCACTTATGAAACTACCAGACGACTTTGATGCAAACTAGTACATTTTAATGCCATTTTATTAGAAACCATGCAAACTTTAATATAAAAAATACAAGTGCAATAAGAATCTTTGTGTGTAAATACAGATTCTGGGTTATCGTGTCGTTGTTGGCTTCCCAAAGAAATACTCCCACAAGCATGAGAAGCTGCAGGCTTCCCTCTGTCCCCTCCTGGAGCAGCCCCCCTTAGCACACGCCTGGTTCAGTTCTCTTTGATCCCAGTGTTTTGTTATTCTGCTTGCCTTTTTTTTTTTTCCTCTTTAAATTAGTTTGACCACCCAAGAACACTTTTCTTTTCTTTTGTTTGAATTTATTTACACTTGGTTTCTTTAGTGTCATTTGAGACGAGGAGCTCCAAGCGTGGTTAGATCTCCTTCCTGGCACCAGCCCTGCCCTGCTGCCCCGCCGAGGCCCCGGCTGAGCGCTGCCCTGCCCTGCTCCCGCAGGCCCTGCTCATCCCGGCGCTCGCTCGGGTCCCCCTCCATCACCCCAAGAACCACACACCCCCACACACCCCCACGGACCTGCTGCAGCCTCGGAACTCCTGCCCTGCCTCCTGCTCCCTCCAGCCTCGGCCCTGGAGAAACGGGACAAACCCCAGGGCTCGGCCGTGCCGTTAATAAATAATCCACCTTGGCAGAAGGCACCCGGGAGGGCTCCGAGCGTCAATTAACACATCTCGAGCATCAATTAACACATCTCGAGCATCAATTACACATCTCGAGGTCAACACAGGCTCCACCTGAGCTCTCACAGCAAGTCTGCCCTCTACACATTCCTGTGCCTTTCGTTCCGGACATGGCTTAATCCCATGAACTCGCTCCATCGTTTTAAAATATTAAAAGAAAAAACCCCAAACAACAACAAAGAAGTTACAACGGCTGGATATGTCAGTAAGAAGCCAGCACGGCAGCAGCGGTTAAATGTCCCTACTCTCCTACGGGTCGGGAAAGAAGGAAAGAGAAAAGGAAACTTAGCACGGGTTCGAACACGATAAATCATCAACACTTCGTCACAAAGAATAAAAGGTTCAAGTCAACAGTTAAAACAGCCTAACGAGTGTGGAGGGGATTTATCAGCATCCCACAGGCGGCAGAAACTGAAGCGGCGAGGAGGGAAGGGGTTAAAAAAAGAGACAGAAAGAAAGATCACAGCTTATCCCTGTTAACTCGGCCTGGCCTCGCCCGCCCAGGGCTCTGCTCTGCTCCGGCCCCGACACAGCGACCCTCGAGAGTCCCCGGGCCAGCGGGAGGGCACGGAGAGGGAGGAGGGAGGGATGGAGGGAGGGAGGGAGGATGGAGGGGAGCCCTGCCCGGCCCGGCCGCCGAGGGACCCCAGCCCGGGCGGCCCAAGAACATCGTCCCCTTCCCACCTAGAGGCAGAGCCGGGTTAAGAGAGCCAAGCTGGGGGCCCCGGGGCGTGGAGAGGGCCGGGGGTCACAAGCCTTGCTGGGCGGCAGCGGTGACGGGGAGGCGACGGAGCCCAGGCTGTCCTGGCGGAGGTGCTACGCCGGGGGCAGGTGCTGCTGGAAAGGGTGGGGGGTTTGGAGACGACGATTTCGCTCCGTGGTCCGTTCCAGCCTTGGCCTTCGCACGGAACGTCAGCTTGTGAGACTCAATCTGCAGCGACACAAGGGCAGGGGACAGGGGGACACGGGGAGAGGAGGAGACAAGGGACAGGAGGGGAATGGAAGACGATACCATAATGTCATCATTAGATGCCTGGAAGATAAAAGGCAATTTTCCAATTAAAAGAAAGGCACGACAACCCCGCAGACGTCGCTGGCAGCGGTCGGGGGCTGCGGTGGCAGCGACGCCGCCGTGCCCGGGGCTGCCGCGCTCCCTCCCCCGGGCTCCCTCCGCCGGTTCTTACTTGTTTCTTGGATGTGGGTGTCCAGGCTCTGCATTTCCCTTTGGTCGGCGCTGCTGAGGGCGGCCAGGCCCGGCCCCACGCCGTTCTCCCGCAGCGCCGGGCCCGGCCCCGCTCCGTTCGGCGGCGGCTGCGCCGGCTCCGCGCCGCCCTCCGCCTGCAACGAACGACAGCGCGGGCACGGGTCAGGGCACGGATCGGGCACGGGTCAGGGCACGGGTCATCCTGAGCACAATTCCCAGCTCCCTGGGGCTGTGCCAGGCCCACACATCCCCCAGGGAGGGCATGTCCCCTCCCTGGGCACAGATGTCCCTTTGCTGCAGCCAGACCCCGAGGCTGGGGACAGTTTGTGTTCCTGGGGGAGGAGGGATGAATCAGCCACCAGAGCTGAGCTCCGTTCTCAGCCCCACAAACAGGGCTGAAGGACTGGGCTGGACAGATCCCCTCCAGCTCAGAGCATCCCACGGATCTGTAAATGCTGCCAGGACTGGACCAAAGCCATTCCCTGCCCTCACCTTGACGGCTCCTCCGGCCGGCGAGTGTCCCACGTTGTCCAGAGATCCCACTTTGGCCTGGGCCTTCTCCTTGAAGTTCAGCTTCTGGTTCTCGATTTTGACGTCTCCTCCCCCTGCAGGGACATGGAGCAGGGCTGAGTTTGGGGAAGCCCCCAGCAGTCCCAGCCAGGAGCCCCTGGGGACCCTCTGGAGGAGGGACAGGACAGTTCCACAGTCACTGCCCCAGGAAAAGTTCTGGAAGACCAAAGCTGATTTCCAGCCGTGCCAGCAAAGAGGGCCCTGGGGAATGCTGCAAACTCCAGACAGGCTGGAGAGATCCCACCTGGATCTGCTCCTGAGGCTGCCTCCTCCAGCAGAGGTGTGAAATGCCACCCCACTGTCCCCCCTGGTGCCACTGCAAGGCTGGCTCCTGTCCCTGTCCCTGTCCCTGCCCAGCCCCTCCAGCTCAGCCACCTGTGCACTCCTCCAGACAGGCTGGAGAGATCCTGCCTGGATCTGCTCCTGAGGCTGCCTCCTCCAGCAGAGGTGTGAAATGCCACCCCACTGTCCCCCCCTGGTGCCACTGCAAGGCTGGCTCCTGTCCCTGTCCCTGTCCCTGCCCAGCCCCTCCAGCTCAGCCACCTGTGCACTCTGCAGTGCCAGGGCACCTCCTGCTGCTCTGTGTCCCTCTGTGCCCTCCTCACCCCTTCCCTGCTCCAGCCCTGGCATCCCCGGGCAGCTCCTCTGGCACACACCTGCAGGAGCACTGCAGGAGAACGTGGGGGTCACAAACAGAGCTGAGAATTTCAGCAAGACTTTTCCAGAATGGAATAGATTGCAGAATTAGATATAAATAAATTCATAGATATAGATATATAGATACAGATGATATAGATATAGATAGAATAGATAGAATTAGATATAGATATAGATATAGATATAGATATAGATATAGATATAGATATAGATATGATATAGATATAGATATTCCCATCAGTCACAGAATCCAGAATGGGCTGGGTTGGAAAGGACCTTAAGGATATCCAGTGCCACCCTGCCATGGCAGGGACACCTCCCACTGTCCCAGGCTGCTCCAAGCCCTGTCCAGCCTGGCCTGGGCACTGCCAGGGATCCAGGGGCAGCCACAGCTGCTCTGGGAATCCCATCCCAGCCCCTGCCCACCCTGCCAGGGAACAATTCCTTCCCAGTCTCCCACCTATCCCTGCCCTCTGGCAGTGGGAAACCATTCCCCTTGTCCTGGCACTCCAGGCCTTTGGAATTCATTTCTTCCCTTCTCAGGCTGAACAATCCCAGCTCTCTCAGCCTTTCCTCCGGGCCTTTGGAATTAATTTCTTCCCTTCTCAGGCTGAACAATCCCAGCTCTCTCAGCCTTTCCTCCCAGGGGAAATGCTCCATCCCTCTGATCAAAGCGCTGCCTCCTTCACTGACAGATCAGTGCACAAACCCCCAGAGTGGGGGGTTTGTGTTCCTGGGGGAGGATGGAATCCTGGATCCTAAGGATGATTCCAACCCCCCTGCCTGGACAGGACCACCCTTCCCTGGCTGCAGCCACATCCCAGCAGCTTCTCCAAAGCCCAGCTCAAGTCCTGCTAAGCACAGCTTTGCTCCCAGCGACATCACTAAACCTCAGCTCTGCTCTGCCAGCCTGGCACGGCCAACGGGGCAGACGAGGGCTTTGGTGCCACCAAGGCAGCCGAAGGCTTGGCAGGCTGGCAGGGCTCTCATCAGCCTGGACAAGGCAGTGATTGTCACTCCCAGCTCGTTACTGCCCGGCACGGAGCTGGCAGAGGTCGCGCCCGTGGCAGCGCGTTCCCAGTGCCAGGAGCCACGGGAGAGAGAGTGCCTGCTCTGACCTGGCACCTGGGCAGGCTCGGGGCACTGCCAGGGGCACAAAGAGCAGCCTGTGGGGCTTGTTCCCAGCCTGGGCAGTGAACTCTGGCCCTCGTGCCAAGGCAGCGTTCCCAGCTGGAGAAGTGTCCCCAGTGTCCCCAGGGGCACTGGAGTGACCATCAGCTCCAGGGCACTGGAGTGACCATCAGCTCAGGGACACTGGAGTGACCATCAGCTCAGCGACACTGCACTGACCATCAGCTCAGGGACACTGCACTGACCATCAGCTCAAGGGCACTGAAGTGACCATCAGCTCCAGGGCACTGGAGGGACCATCAGCTCAGGGACAGTGAAGTGACCACCAGCTCCAGGGCACTGAAGTGACCATCCCTCAGGCCAAGCCAGGGGCCTCCAGCCCCAGCACCTTGGGCTGGGGACAAACCTGAGATTCCCAGGAATTCAGGCAAGAACACTGGAGTGACCATCCCTCGGGCCAAGCCAGGGGCCTCCAGCCCCAGCACCTTGGGCTGGGGACAAACCTGAGATTCCCAGGAATTCAGGCAGAGGAATGCTGTGTTCCCAGGAGGTCATTCCCACACTCATCCCAGAAAATCCACCCCGGGGCCAGAAGGGTTTCATGGGAGGCAGGAGCTGCTGTGGGCTCAATGCTAAAAGGACCCTGGTGCTCTGAAGGACTGCAGGGAATTTCCTTTATCCTGCCATGAACATCCTGGGATGTTCCACGTGCCCCAAAGCCTCTGTGAGCATGGATGAAGCTTCCTGGAATGATTGTGGAAACTTCCCTGTTTTCCTTCTCAAACAAGCAGGAAAAGCAGGAATGACTCAAAGCTGTAGATTATCTTACAGGCAAGAGGGCATCCCACATCTCCTAATGCCCCTCTCTGCTCTTGAAACCACCAGGAACTGTGGGAGAAGCATTTTTAGGAACTTCCAGAAGCACTGGGGACATCCCCTGAAAGCAATAAGCCCCCTAAACAATTCCAGTCCCAATCCAGGGCTGTGTTTAAGGGACAAAACTTACAGACAAATGAGGAAATGGCAAAATTCCTACCTGGCTTATGCTTGATATTTGCTTTAGATCCACACTTGGAGGACACTTTGGAAAGGTCGACTTTCTTGTTCTGGATCTGCACCTGGGGAGACAAAAAGCAGCAGCTGAGCACAGAGAAACCTCTGGAGGCCAAAGGGCACCTCAGGCTGTGCTCTGTGAGCCTGTGGCCCTGCTCTCACTGCTCCTGCACATTGCCAGGATCCTGCCTGGCATTCCTGGAGTCACCCAGAGCCAGGAGTGAGACAGAGCCGAGACAGACAGCAGGACAGAGGGACAGAACATCACAGGGCTGAGCTCAGGCACAGCCGTGGGACACACAGGCCCTGGAATAGGGACAATAAAAGCCAACCCTGCTGCCAGGGTCCCCACAGGGCTCCTGCCCAGCCTGGGACACCACCATGGCCTGGGCAGTGCCACCAGGGCTGGGGCCACCTCAGGGAGCCCTGCTGCAGGGCCAGGCTGTGCCTGGGGAGGAGAAGCTCCAGGGAGAGCTCAGAGCCCTGCCAGGGCCTGGAGGGGCTCCAGGGAGCTGGAGAGGGACTGGGGACAAGGATGGAGGGACAGGACACAGGGAATGGCTCCCACTGCCAGAGGGAAGGGAGGGATGGGAGATTGGGAATTGTTCCTGTGAGGGTGGGCAGGCCCTGGCACAGGTGCCCAGAGCAGCTGGGGCTGCCCCTGGATCCCTGGAAGTGTTCCAGACCAGGTTGGACACTTGGAGACATTGGAAGGTGTCCCTGCCATGGCAGGGGTGGCACTGCATGATCCTTAAGGTCCCTCCACTCCAAGCAGTCTGGAATTCCCAGAGGGATCCTGGTGCCCAGAGGGAATGCACTGCCCCAGGACTCCATCCCTCTCCAAGAGCAAGGCCAGGGCTGAGAGCAGCCACAGCTGGAAGCTGCAGGCTCACAGCTTCTGCCCCAGCTCAGTTCACAGAGGAAACCCAAGGATTTCCTTTCCAACATGACAAGAATTCCTTGACCAGCAGCTGCTCTGGGAGTTTGCTGAGAGCTCTCAGGAGAATTTGCCAGAACTCCTGCCAGGGAAGCAGGGGTGTGCCCAGGGAGGAGTCCCAGGATGCTGCAGGATAGCAGGACAGCCCAGCCCAGCTCAGCTCCTGCCAGGTCCCACGTCCCCAGCTCAGTGACACCCTCCCAAGGTCAGTCACAGACCCTGGCTTGGTTTTCTCAGGAGTAAATTTACTACAGCTTTAATCACCAGTCCTTGCTCGCTCAGAACTGAGCTGAGATTAAAACTCAGGGAAGGCTCTGTTTGCAGCACCTCCAGCAGGAGCTGGCTTTGCACTTGGCATTGCACTGGAGAGCCAAGCACAGACCCTGGTGCCAGAAATCAACTTTGGAGTTTGGCTCAGGTGGGGAGAGCCTCAGCTCTTGTTGGCTTTTGTGTCCCTGACCACGTCCCAGTGCAGCCAAGCCCAAGGCCAGGGGAGCACAGGGACACCCCAAACTCCTTCCAAACCTCCCTCACCCACAGGCACTGGCTGCACTTTGTGAAATCCACCTCTGCTCTGCTTTCTTAGTGATCATCACAACTACCTGAGCAAGAAAACACCTTGGAAGAGGTCACTGACATCACAGTGCTCCACAGGGAGTGGGAAGATACAAAAATGAACAGAAGAAAAATAAGAAATGATTTTTTAGGAAGACAGACTGAGCACTCACACGCACACTCTGTGCTGGAGGGCTGGGAATGCCCTCCTGGAGCTGCTCTGGGAGCATTTGGAGCCTGGAAATGAGCTCTTGGCTCAGAAAATGCAGAATAAAGAGCTGCCTAAGCAGCAAGGAGCAGAAGTGCAGTGTGAAAGGAGAGTGTGGGAGAGGAGAAGAGGAGAAAGCAGGGCCACAGCTGTCGCCAGGCTGGGGATGCAGAGGGAAGGACAGGATGTGATTCATGAGCACAAGGACACTTCAGTGCCACAGTTAATCACCAAGGAGAGACCCCCAGAGCAGCCCCACTGCTGAAAGAGCAGGAGAGGCACCTGTGAGGCTCCTGAAAGGCTGAGCAGGGCAAGGTGACAACACTGAGCTGGTTTAGAGAACACAGCTCCTTGGAGTGCATGGACAGGGAAATGCCACAGCTGCCCCAGAGCTGTCACCAGAGTGGCCACGGGCACTTCTGCCACCAAGTCTGGCTCAGGCTGGGGCAGCACCAGGGGAACAGGCAGCAGGAACAGGGCTGAAACCCCCTGAGGGCTCCCAAGGACACCAGGGCTCGAGGCCAACACGTCCAGGAATCCTGTGGGGCATTTCCATGGGAAACAGCCCCAGAAACACAGTGTAAACCATGGAAACAGCAGAGAACCACAAATGCCAAATCCCCAGAGCAGGGATGTGGGCAGGCAGCCTGGGTTCAGTGGCACAGGGGTGACTTCAGCCTCTCTGGCCACCCTGGTGACCAGCCTGGAGGGAACCAGCTGTCAGGAGCCCACATCTGGTTGCCACTTGCAAAGATTTGTGGGAAAATCAGTCATGTAGAGGTTCAGCCTCTACATGGATCATGGATTTCCCAGGAGAAGTGGTCCCAGCTGGCTCCACAGGCAGGTCCTGAGCAGGGTTTGTGTCACTGCACCAGGCTCTGAGCAGACACCCTGGCACCTCACAGAGGTGGCAGCTGGCCATCACTGCTTGGGAGCCCAGGGTATTTAAACACCTCAGAACAAACTTCCTTGGGCCCAGGTCCTTCAGTGTCTTTGAAGCCACCCAAACTTTGCACTGCTGAAGCTGCCCCGTGCCAGGAGCCCAGGCCAGGTCTGGCAGGGCAGCACAGAGGTGACTGAGCCCCCAGACCACGCTCGTAGGGCTGGACAGTGAACCTGGCTTGCCTGGCAGACACTTGGAGCACCCAACACCCCAGACCAAGCTGCAGACACCACCAGATTAACTTTCTATTTTAATAAGCTCAGCCCTGCTGCCAGAGATACCAGCAGCCTTTAAATTTAGAAATTAATCTCAGCTCAAAGGTTAAGTCCCAGAGTCTTTGCCTGCTCCAAAGTCCCTTTGATGAAACAAGGAGTGAATGAGTGTGGCTCCAGCTGCCCTGTGAGCCAGGGAGGGGAACTGGCACTGCCAGGCCAGAATGGAGCAGCTCTGGGAAATGCAGGGCTCAGGGGGTGAGCTCAGTGCCAGGCTCAGCCACGTCCCCACCCCTGTGTGGGTCACAGAGAGCAGGGCCAGCCCAGGTACTGGAACAACCCCACAGCTCACCAGAGAAGTGCAGGAATCTCCAGGCTGAGCTGTGCCCAGCAGCCCAGGGCTCTGCCAGGGCTCCTGCCTCAGCACAGCCCTGCTGGGCTGGCACACCCACCACGGCACAGAGAAGGAGTTAGCAGACAGCAGCTTGCCCAGAGCCATACTTACATTCCCACCTCCAGGGACATGCTTAATATTGTCCTTGGAACCACACTTGGACTGAACATGGCTGTAGTTCGCTTTTTTGGAGACTATCTGGACCTGGAACGTCACAGAACGGAGACAACACAAGGGAAGAGGACTGGTTAGATTGTCATCCTGCAGGGCACAGGGGCTCTGGGCACCAGGGACCCTGAGCAGCTCGGCCCAGTGCTGGGGGAAGCCACCAAGGAGGAGAGTGAGAGACAGTGAAGGACAGGAGGCTGCACAGACAGTGTTAGTGCCAGGCTGGGAGCACCAGGGACAGCCTGGGGACCCTGCAGAGCCCTGGGGTGGGCTGGGCTGGCACTGCCAGGGCCTGGAAACCCCTCTGAGCAGGGAGAGCCAGCCCAGAGGGCTGGGATGGGACTGCCCAGGGCATGGAAACCTCCCTGGAGCAGGGAGAGCCAGCCCAGAGGGACAGGATGGCACTGCCCAGGGCATGGAAACCCCCCTGAGCAGGGCGAGCCAGCCCAGAGGGACAGGATGGCACTGCCCAGGGCATGGAAACCCCCCTGAGCAGGGAGAGCCAGCCCAGAGGGGTGGGATGGGACTGCCCAGGGCATGGAAACCTCCCTGAGCAGGGAGAGCCAGCCCAGAGGGGTGGGATGGCACTGCCCAGGGCACAGAAACCTCCCTGGGGCAGGGACAGCCAGGTGGGATGGGACTGTCCATGGCCCAGAAACCCCCCTGGGGCAGGGAGAGCCAGGTGGGATGGGACTGTCCATGGCTCAGGAGCCTCCTGGGAGGTTTCCAGGGACAGGCAGCCCCCAGAGCCACCACTGCCAGCACGCTGTGAGCTGCTCCATGCCCACACCTGGACTGAATCCAGCCCTGGGCAATGTCCCTCCAAAGCCCTGGGCAGCACACTGGGTGTGAGAAACATTCTTCTACTGAAGGTGGAACGACCTGCAGCGGAATGAGCTCAGCTGAGTCTCAGGTTAATGAAATGGTTTCTCCCTCACACTGACTTAATGACCTTCAGTGGAATGAGCTCAGCTGAGTCTCAGGTTAATGAAATGGTTTCTCCCTCACTGACTCAGATGAAGGCTGGGAGAACGTGGCTGTGGTGGCTTGGCAGTGCTGGGCATGGGTGGACTCCGTGATCCCACAGGGCTTCTCCAGCCTCAGTGAGTCTGTGATTTTTGAGGCAAGAGGAGTGGTTTAGGTGAGCAGTAACTGGGTTAGACACCAGTGTTCACAGAGGTTAGTTACAACACAGGCTTGCTCTGGAGCTGAGTTATTTACCACAGCACAAGCAGCCCCAGCTGGATCCTGGCTCCTACAGAGGTGAAAGCTTGGAGCACAGCAGGGATCACCCAGCTCTCACCTGGGCAGGCTCCCAGCTCTGACAGGCTGCACTCAGAACAGCAGCTCTGGGAACACACCTGTGCCACGGAGTGTGGCCTGCTTCACTGACTCCCTACAGGTACAAATCCTGCTCATTCCTGACCATTCCTGCCTGGTAATACTGGAATTAAACTGTGGCACTCCCACCTCGAGCCATCCACTTGCACTTTGGAGTAACCCATGCAGTGGTGATGGCCTAAGGCCTGGAGTTACAGAGTTTTGGTACTACTGGGCTGGGAATATTGCAGGAAAGATGTGAATTCCTACATATTGTGCAGTCCCAAATGAAGCAGCTGTGAGCTCAACCTCTCTGCCTCGTTACCAACTGGTTCTGTGTGTGAAGAACTGGTTAAGGGAAACCCTCTGACTCCAGGTTACCCTGTATTAACCTGGAGGTGAAAGAGGAGGACTCTGCTCTGGAAAGCTCTCCAGCAGGAGTGGAGAAGGCCCTTCCCTGCAGGAATTTCCCTGGGAACATCTCAGGGTGCACGGGAGAGAAGGGGAAGTGTCTGTGCAAGGAACAGTGCCACTGACAGGAGAGAGCAGGACAGCTGGAGAGGAGGGACAGTGACTCAAAATGGAAACGTTTTCCTTCATCTCCCCCAGAGAAAAGTGTGAAAGCAAACTCACTTTCCCATTGGGCTGTTTGGGGACCCCCTCTTTTGCTGCCACTTTGGGAGCCACTTTAGTGCCCGCGCTGGGCTCAGAGCTGGGCGCGGCGGCGGCTGACTCTGGCCTTTTCTCTACCTTCCCCTGGATGGAGACAAAGGGATGATTTCAAGCAGCACAAGCATAAATGTGGGCAGGAGCAGGGAACACGGCTGGACCTGCTGCAGAGCTGAGCCACAGCTCCTTGCGTGCCCAGGAGAGGTGACACCAAGGGCACAGAGCAAGGAGTCACTTCTCAAAAAGCTCCTGGTGCCCTTCCTCGGGATCCAGGCCACCCCAGGACAATGATCCTGCCAAAAAAACCCAACCAAATCCCTGGGGAGCCCAAGAGCAGAGCAGCTCCTTCATGTAGTGCAGATCTGGGAGGTGAGGACACCCAGGGCTGGTCTGGGGCTCTGAGGGCTCTGCTGGACACACACCCCGAGCTCCCAGCTCAGATTCCCACCCAGCACACTGCCCTCAGCCTTGGAGCTCAGCAGCTCCTTCAGTTTTTATCTACCAAAAGGCAGGTGCACCCAGAGAGTCCAGCTGAGCAGAAAATCAAAAGAAAATTTACAGGTTTCATAAAAATTTAGCAACTACCCGAGGATATCCATTGTTTTGCTAGTTTAGATGCAGGGAAGTGCAGCAGGACCTGCATTTTTGGGGGTGGCTCAGCATAAATCTTGTATTTCACTAACCTAAAGACCAGTGAACAAAAAACCCCCAACACTACAACAATTCTCAGACTCTAAAAACAGCTCAGTGTAAATAAGCCTACAAAAAGGACAATTTGCTTAACAAGGCAATTGTTAGGATTTAATAACTCCATGAAAATATTTAGAAAATCGAGGGCAGTGCAATTAAATGCAAATGAAAGTCCCCTGAGCTGCTGCAGAGCCAGGAGACTGCTGACTCTGAGGATAAATCCATGCTGTATCGATGCTGTCTGGGACACACACCACCCAGCCAGGAGTGCCCTTGACTTTAATGTGCCTGAGAGCAGACTAAAGCTCTCCCAGCATGGAACGTGCTCCCTTGGCAGCAGATTAAAGTTCTGGGCCGGGTTATTCAGCACCACAGAGCTGCAGCAAAGAGAATGGAAAGATCTGTGTCCCACTGGGGGGGAGTCAGAGCCCTCTGGCTGCTGCTGGCACACGTGGCCAGGCCAAGGCTGGGCTTACACAACAGCTAAGCAGGGCTCTGGGTCTGCACGGCCACGGGCTGCAGGTGGATCCACCTCTGTCCCTTCCATGGGATGTGCTGATGGTGGAAGTGCCACCTAAGGGCATTAAGAGGCAGTGAGAACCCCAGGTTTCATCTCTGCTGATGGTTGTCCAGCACCACCCTCTCCTCATGCCCACCATGAGGGGTCCCGAAAGACTCAGCTTCGGGCCTGACGAGCTGGGCATGGGGAAGGTGCTGTGCAACCCACATTTCCCTCACCCTAGTGCACTATTGCACCTTCTGTACAGCTCCTCAAGGGCAAAGGGCTGGGCTATGGACAGGACTGAGGTGGCACAGGGCTTGTGTGGCAGCCCTGGGGCTGGGGTGGATGCCGCGCTCTGCCCAGCAGCACCCAGCGAGAAGCAGTGAGGACACAGCCACCAGCCCAGCAGAGCCCGGCGCAGAGCCCGGGCAGGCGGGCAGAGCAGGGCTCACCTTTCCCCCGCCGGGCTGGTGCTTGATGTTGTCGGTGGAGCCGATCTTGGAGCGCACGTTGCGCAGGTCGGGCCCGGCGGCGCTGGCCGGGCGCGGCGCTCGCGGCGCGGCTGCGGCGCTGCCTCTGCTGCCCACGGCCTTGCCCGGCGCTTTCTTGGCGTCTGCCGACACCGTGGAGGCCACGGCGGCCTTGGGGGCCGTGCCTTTGGGCTTGGGCCGGCTGGTGGCCGCGGCGGGCACGCTGGAGGCCGTGGTGGAAGGAGTGGTGGCGCTGCTCTTGGTGACACTGCCGGGAGCGCTCTTGGGGCGGCTGGCATCTGCTGGGGGATGGCAGGGGTGAGGCTCGGGTACAGGAATTGCCTCGGTCACACAAGCCCAGCACTCAAAGATCAGCTCTCCCCAGCCCTGCCACGGCAGGGACACCTCCACTGTCCCAGGTGCTCCATGTCCCATCCAGCCCGGCCTGGGACACCCCTGTCCCCCGAGATGTACAGGGACCCCTTAATGACCCCAGCCCCAGACAATGGGGATTTGATCCAGATTGAGGAAACAGCCTCAGGCTGTGCCAGGAGAGGTTCAGGTGGATATTGGGAATATCCCTTCCTGGAAAGGGCTGCCCAGGGCACAGAATCCCCACGGCTGGAGGGATGTGACACCCATGTGGATGTGGCACTGGGGACAGGGTCAGGGGTGGCCTTGGCAGTGCTGGGGACAGGTGGGCTCGTTGGCCTTGCAGGGTGTTCCCAGATGGACTTCCCTGAGCCCAGGTGAGGAGGGAAGGGAGCAGTTACCTGAGGGAGACTTTGCAGGGGGTTTCTTGGCATCTGCCGGCTTTGTGTCTGTCTTGATGGCTGCCAACACAAACACAGCAGTCAGGGGAGATCCCTGCAGCATTCCAGCCTGGAAGCAGCCCAGGACTGGCTGCTCTGTGTGAGCACCTGCCTGGGCAGCTCCTGCTGCCACCAGAACCCCCTCGTTTTTGGCAGCCAAAGCACCAATCCTTGTCAAAGGATCTCGCTTGGTGACACCACACACCTGGGGATGGGCTGCATTTTGTTCCTCCTCACATTAACTTCCTGAATCTGACAGCACTCACCGGGAGTATTTTAATTCTGCCACATCTTAATTTCTTAAAAAAAACCCCCGACCAAGCAAAAAAACCCACCCCAGAACATTTCCTTTCTTCAAAAAGCATCAAAAGCAGCCCCGCATTTGTCCTTGCCCAACCTTGCTCTCACTGCCAGACCAGTCCTGCCCTGTGCCAATTTTCTTGCACAGGAGTTATTGCACATATTTTGGCTCCTATTTTAATTGTATAAACCCAAAAATCAATCCCTAAACTGAGCTGCCTTTGGGCAAAGCCCAACGATCATGACCTGATTACACTGCACAGAGGACACTGTAAACCAGGGATGCAGCCACACTTCTCCAGGCAGGAGAAAACCAAGCACCAGACTGATCAAGGCAAAACCCACAGACTGAAAAACAGAAATGGGACTTCATTTTATGGAATCTTTGATCATGAAATTGTAGGGTTTTTACTATTAGTGATGAGCACGTTTGGGTACAATCTGCTTAATTTCAACAGCCAAAGGAAGGCAACATTGAAAAGAAATAATAAATGGAAAAGACCCAAGTTAGAAATTATGAAAACCCTCATTTTTTAATATTTAATTCCCATTAAGTCTCAGATTTTTAGTTACACTCCAGCAGCTGCCAGGGTCCTTTATGGGATATCAATACCAAAAAGACCAAGGGGAAGAGGCAGATAACTACAGGCCAAGTTAGTCTGGATCATTCCACCCTGACTTTGCTAAAAGCATTCAATTAAACACCCCAGATAAGATTCCAGCTAATGAGGTGAAACCCATTTGGATAATTTAATAAGGCCTAAAGGATGGATACATAATTAATAGAAAACACTTCAAACAAGGGGCTGGCAAATCAACCTAATTTCATTCCTCGAGACCACAACTTTAATTGGGGAAACTGCACGGACAGAACAGCCTTAGGTCTGTGTAAAAGGCAGAGGAATATTATGTTACATTAATATACAGAGATGGTTTCTCTGCTGGGGTCAGGGGGGAGCCAAATGCTGAACACTTGTGTTTGTACAAAGGTGAGGTGCTGAAAACCCAGACAGAGCCCCTGGGACAAGGGTCTGTGTGACAGACTTTGATCTGTGCCTGAGCTGAAGGGCTGAGCGTGGTCGTGTACAAACATTACAGTCATTTCCACAGGGACGGGGGAAAAACTAATGAAGAAATAAAATTAAAAATCAAAATATCAAGCCCCACATAACCCACGGGTCTCCTTTATTAGAGAAAATGACTGACCTGAAAATACCTGCAGAAGTGGAACTACATAATGTCAAACCTGGCCTTTACAGAGACATTTCATGTGAGACAATGACTGAAACTTGATGGTACTGAGTGCCTGGCACGAGAAAAGCACCAGCAGCTGTCCTGAAAGAGCATCTTCAGCCACAAACACCATCTCCACCCCAAACTTATTCTCTGGGTCAACACTGTGTTGTGAGAAACTAAATCCATGGAATCACCATGGCAGGAAAAGCCCTGCCAGACCATCCAGTGCAGCTGTTCCCCACCACTGACCATGTCCCCAAGTGCCACATCCCTGTGGCTCTGAAATCTCTCTGGAGATGGGGACTCCACCACTGCCCTGCTCAGCCCATTCCAAGGCCTGACCACCCCTTCCATGAGGAACATTCCCAAAATCCACGCTGAGCTGCCCTGGCCCAGCCTGAGGCTGTTCCCTCTCCTCCTGTCCCTGTTCCCTGGAGCTGTCCCCTCCTCTAAAGGAGCTGATCAGAGCTGTGACCCCAAGAGCTCCAGGTGTCCCCAGCCACATCTCACCCAAACCAAACCCCACCAAACCAAACTCAACCAAACCAAACCACACCAAACCCAACCCAACCCAACCCAACCCAAACCAAACCAAACCCAACCCAACCCAACCCTGAGCACTGGACTCTCCGTGGTTCCCTTGAGACCCCAGGGCACCTTCCACCCTCTGTCCCACCCCTGCTCCCACCTCACCCACAACAGGAGCCCCTGCTCTTCCCATTCCTGCCTTCCCTGTGCCTTTCCAGATCCAGATTTCTCAGCCTCCCCATGGAGTCCCTCCAGCTGACCTCATCCTCCCTCACCCAGGGCCTGTGCTCTGGCAGGGTCCCACCAGGTTCCTGGTGCCACAGCCCCTTGCCCTGCCCCTCCTGCCTCCTGGAACAGCTCCCTGCAGCTCTGCATGGCTGCCTCCATCTCCTTTCAGAGGGCAGCAGCAAACACTGCTTTGTTTGTGGCTCACTTTGGGCAGCAGCAATGAGCACAACTCATTAGAACAGACCCTGCATTCCCGGGCTCCTGTTTGCCTCCAAGACCACACAAAATGAGTTTCACTCACAAAATGAGTTTGTCAAACAGGATATGTGGCTCTTGGAACGTGCAACACCTTCTCTACACTTGATTAATTGGATTTTCCCCCACAGCATAAAGTCTGGGATGTCCATCAGGCCAACTCCATCCAGCACAGCTAAAACATGACAATTCTTTTGGGAAAGCTGGGATATGGATCCATGCTTTGGGATTCAGACTAGTCCGTGTCATTTTACACTTTCATTGACAAATTTTGTCACAGAGGCCCAGTCATTTGAAAAGACTTGAGAAGACTTGACTATAATCTTATCTGATGTTAAATCTCTCAAGCTCCACTAAAAGGAGTGTGAACAGTGTTATTTTATTTAAAACACTGCTCAGGTTTCCTGTGGAACTCATGGCAAGTTCCCTCTTTAGCAGAGTACGAGTGGGACACAATTTTTGGATGAAGCTGATGTGATTTCAGCTCCAAATTCTTCCCCTCCACTTCTGCTCAACCCTTTTGGATTTCACACACCAGTTCAGGTGTTTCAAAGATTTGCTTTCCCGAGCTTTTATTTAGTGTTTATTCTGTTCCTATGGCAAAATACAGAGGGACTAGAATGCCCACTCTTAAATCAAGTGTGTCCAGTAATTGCATTAATCCTGGATCACACACAGCCGATGGAGGTTGGCCCTGAAGGGAATTTGGAAGAGGAAGCCCTGGAGAGAAGATCACTTGAGAAGATCACACAGAGCTGATGGAGGTTGGCCCTGAAGGGAATTTGGAAGAGGAAGCCCTGGAGAGAAGATCACTTGAGAAGATCACACAGAGCTGATGGAGGTTGGCCCTGAAGGGAATTTGGAAGAGGAAGCCCTGGAGAGAAGATCACTTGAGCTACTGTCAGAATCCAGGCCGCGATGGAGTGGCCTGTGAACACTCCCAGAGGTGGGGACTCACCAGCTGTGCCAGGGCCTTTTCCAGGAGGAATAATCCCAGTATCCACCTGAGGCTGCCCTGCCCAGCCCGAGGCCGTTCCCTCTCCTGCTGTCCCTGCTCCCCCAGCTGTCCCCTCCTGCCAGGAGCTGTGCAGAGCCCCCGGTGCCAGGTTATCCCCCGGGGAAGGAAGGAGGGAGCACTCACACGTCGGCCTCTTGGGAGGAGTGGCCGCCGTGGTTTTGGCAGCGGCCGCTGCCGTCACCGGCGACGGCGCCGTGGTCCGGGGAGCAGCAGAGGAGCTCCTGGAAGGGGTTTTGGGAGCCGTGGAGGAGGCAGGCTTGGACAGGGAGGTTCTCTTCTCCGCGGGCTTCGCATCCGCGACCTGAAACGGAGCGGGCGGCGTCAGAGCGAGCACAACAGCACCAGCAAACCCCGCTCAGCGCCAGGGCAGGAGCCAGGAGAGGCTGAAAGGAACAGGGATTGCTGGAATTCCTCAGCACTTAATGAAGCCTGGCACTGCTGAGAGGTTATAATGCAATTAAAATATAATTGAGACGTGCAGAAGTGGTGGTGTGGAGGGCAGGACACGGAGCACGGACCCTGCGCAGGAGCAGCTCCCAGCCAGGGCTGGCTCAGCTTTGGTGTGTGGGGCCTCTCCAGCTGGGAAGGAGGTTTTGATTTCTGGATAAAATGGAACCAGCAGAACACCAGCAATGCTGCTGGGAGGGATTCCCACCCTCCAGGAGCAGCAATGCTCCCTAAGCTGCAATTTGTTTAAACAGTGGGGACAGGAAAATCGGGTGTCCATGGCTCATCCCTCACTGGGAAAACTCTCTCCTGCTGTCCCTGGTCAGGCACTTGTTTGCCAACTGCCTGATCTCTGAGGTATGAAAATACTGAATTAATGCATGGAAATAAATATTATTTTAGCAAAAAGATACAAAAACTTGAACTAAACCGAAGTCGCCAGCTCAGAGAAAAGTGCAGTTTTTCACCTGGACTTTCATTTTCCTTCTGTTATTTTTAGTTACTTATAAAAGACACTCAAATGCATTAATTTGAGCTTAGTACAGCAGGAGTGGTGGTGTTGAGCCATCAATGAAAGCTTCTGAAATAGATTTTGATGTTCCCTTTTTAACCTGAATTCCCCTGCGCTGTAAGATCACAATTTAACACAGGGATCATTCAAGGGACCCCTCCCATTCCTAACACATGGGCATTCCCTGCTTATCTGGAAGATGCAACACTGTCCATGAATCCTCTCCTTTGGGGAGTTACAAACCTCCAGAGTTTTGTAAGTGTTATCAGTCCTTTCTGGGCAGTTCTGCAGTGATCCCACATCATAAAATGACAATTGGTGGGAAATAAGGAGTGTTCACATGGATTTGTTTTTCTTCAATATTCATATCAAATGTCTCCAGTCAGATTTCCCATGTTGTTGTCTGGATTTAGGAGTTGTACACAGAAGGAATTCCTGGCTGGGAGGTGGGGAGGGACTGGGATGGAATTCCCAGAGCAGCTGTGGCTGCCCCTGGATCCCTGGCAGTGCCCAAGGCCAGGCTGGACAGGACTTGGATCACTCTGGGATAGTGGGAGGTGTCCCTGCCATGGCAGGGGTGGGATAATGGGGTGGGATGGGATGGGATGGGATGGGATGGCATGGGATGGGATGGGATGGATAGGGTGGGATTGATAGGATGGATGGGATGGGATTGATAGGATGGATGGGATGGGATGGGAAGGGATGGGATGGGATGGGATGGGATGGGATGGGATGGGATGGACTTTAAGGTCCCTCCCAACCCAACCCAGCCTGGGATCCCTGACTCACGGCAGCTCATCAGGGCCATCTCAGCACTACACTCGGGTTTAATTCTCCTCTGTGGTCACACAGCTCAGTGCCAGGCACACGATGCCATCCCTGGGAAGCTGCTCCCAGCACCCTGCAGCTCCCAGCACACGGAGTGATCCCACCTAGCACAGGAGCTCTGCCCTGCCCAGGCATTCTTACCTTTGGTTTAGTCTCTTTTGGAGTGAGGGTGGAGGGACGGGTGCTGCTGGTGCCGGGGCGTTTGGAGGTGGTGCCTGGAGCAGGAGCTGCACTGGGGCTCGTGGGCTTTTTGTTTGTGCCCGGGGCGGCCGAGCTGGGCCGCTTGGGGCTGCTGCTGGCCGAGGGCTTGGCTCTCGCTGCCGCCGCCTTGGCAGTGGAGGAGGATGCAGCAGCCTTTAGGGTTGGGCCAAAAAGCAAAATCCGGGGTAAAAGCAAAGAAATACAACAAAAAACAGCGCATTGTAAACCAAAACATTGAGCTGCAACAACAGAAAAGTGGTATCTTAAAGGAAACAAATAATAATAATAATAATAATAATAATAATAATAATAAGCTTTCTGTTTTCTGAGTGCAACAAAGACCAAAATGCAGCAGCCTCTGGGGCTGTGGGGTGGGGGGGGGTGGTTCTGCCATTCAATTCCAAACCAACAGGATTTATTTCAGCAGCATGGAAAGCAGCAGAAGGAATGGCTGGTAAAGCTGGATTAGTAATTGGGTGCTCCTGGCATCCAGGGCTACGTGCAATCCACAGGCCGTGGCTTTCCAATTATGGGCACGCAGGGATTGAGAGCTCCAAATCCCCTGGGATCAGCTCCCGTGGTCACACGGGCAGGGCCCCGAGGGGACAGAGCCCCCGGCCCCCCCAGCCCTGCTGGGGACACTGGGGGCACTCCTGGGAGCTCTGAGAGCACAGCTCCAGAGCCAGAGGGGCTCTGCGTGCACAGAAACCAGCAACTCACAGAGTATGGCTGAGCACAGGGGGTGCTACACGTTTACTACATGTTTACTACATGTTTACTACATGTTTACTACTGCTACAAACGCTGCTCCAGCCAGGGAATTCACTGGGATGAAGTTTCCACACTTTGATCCAGGTTTGCCACGGGCTGGGCCCTTGGGTTTGCTGCAGGGACAGGGCTCCCAGGGGCAGCTCAGAAAACAGAAGTGGCACAGCTGAGGAAGCAGAAAAGCTGGAAGTGAAAGCCCTGGAAGCAGAGATGGCAGCAGGGAACAGCTCCTACCTTGCTCTTCTTCTCGGGGCTGGGGGGCAGCTCCTTGTTGGGAGGAGCTGTGATGTCGTTCCCACTCACGGCCTCGGCTGCCTTGGCCTCCTCTGCCTTGGCTGGGGGAAGGAAGGGACATTTGTAAGTTTAGGCTTATTTTTTTTAAAGATATGTTTTTTAGTTTACTGTTATTCCACACAGCAGCAGCAGGAAACAGAACTGACACAGCACAGGTTGGTGTTAGTGGAAAAGTCCCTAAACCCCAGAATAGCTGCAGGAAGAAAGATTTTCTCTGCAACAGGACAGGTTCATCCAGGGGCTGTTAGATTCCAAATTCTCACATTATCCCAGTGGGAAAAGCCAGACAGCAGATGAAGGAAACCTGTGGTTTACTGTAAATAGCAAATCTCATCTTTTAAGTTGTTACAGGAAATTGTTGGAACGTTCATGGTGAAGTCCTGACCTCTTCCAGGTTTTACACTTATCCTGGAGTGGGGTTCTGTTCCCAGCTATCCCTGCTGTTACAGCTGCTCCTGCCCAGCCTTCCTTCTGCCCACATCCACAGCTGGGGCCTCAGTGAGCAGGGAGGGCTCCAGCAGCCAAAGGGAGCAACAGCAAAGGTCACACAGGGCACGGTGCCACTTCCAGGCCCTGGAGCTGCTGCAGGGCTGGAGCCAGGCTGGAGAGCTGGGAATGTTCACCTGGAGAGGAGAAGCTCCAGGGAGAGCTCAGAGCCCCTGGCAGGGCCTGAAGGGGCTCCAGGAGAGCTGGAGAGGGACTGGGGACAAGGATGGAGGGACAGGACACAGGGAATGGCTTTGGCTGAAGGAAGGTACACTTAGTTTATTAAGAGGAATTTCTTCCCTGTGAGGCCCTGGCACAGGTGCCCAGAGCAGCTGGGGCTGCCCCTGGATCCCTGGCAGTGCCCAAGGCCAGGGCTTGGAGCAGCCTGGGACAGTGGGAGGTGTCCCTGCCATGGCAGGGTGGCACTGCATGGTCCTCAATGCCTCCTTCCACCCAAGCCATCCCAAGACTCCCACGAGAGCAGGAACATGGAGATGCCATTCTGGCAGACAGGAGCACACTGGCCCCTCACTGGAGCTGTGTTACAGCACAGAGCTCAGAGCCAGCTCCAAGAAGTGCCAGATTTCCCACTGATTGTTCCTTTTGGCCATTGTCACCCAGGCTGTGACACTGGCTGGGGACAGTGCACACACCCAGGCTGCTCCTGAGGGGCAGGAGAGCAGCACCCCCTCCTTGTGTCCTCTGAGACCCCAGAACCCAAACCAGCCCCAGCACTGCCCTGCAACCCAACAAATGGTTCATTTAGGAGCAGTTTCCCCACGTTTTCTCCCCAAATCCCTGAAATCCCACAGCAGCCAAGCAGCAGCTTCCTTACAAATCCCTTCCAAGCTCTCCTTCCCCAGGGTGCAGCTGCACATCCACCCTCATCCGTGTTGGACACTGCTTTTTATAACCCTGCAACAGATTGTGACAAGGCCAGGGTAAGGATTCCAGCAGTAAACAGCCTGTTCTCCACATCTTTTGGAAATTACAGTTTCTATTCCCTGTGTTCCTGCTCGTCAGACTTGACAGGGGTGTCTCAGAGGATGGCTCAGTCCTGGTACAAGCCAGGAAAATAAAATCACCCCGTGCCTCCCTCCCACCAGAGTATGGGGTTGTTTTTATGTTCTGACTCCAGGGTAAGCTCAGGATAAGCCTTTTTTGCCCCTGAATTGGTTTAACCCCTTCCTACCCATCTGGCCTTCCAGCTTTGCAGCACTGGGCTGAGCATCCTGGGCACATGAAAGAGGCTTGTGAAGGAAAACCAGCAAAATGCAGAGGCTGAACACCTGCTTTAATGCAAAATGCTCAGGAATTGTGTCTGTTCACCTGGAAACCCTGTTTTTATTGCAGCTGATCTGTACTGGCTCCTCTCCACCTGATTCATTTCAATAATCCTTTCTCTCCTCCTGGTTTCACCTGTCAGTTCCATCCCCAGCAATGCCAGCAGCAGTTGTCAGCAGTTCCCTCTCCTGAAAAACAACTCCTGCCCTTTCCCTTCTCTCTGCTTCCCTGCTTCCTTTGGAATCCTACCAGTCTCAAATATCCCCCACATCAAGGTGACTTCCAGCTGGGAAAAGCTGCTGTCATTAATTATTTCAGCTAATTCAGCACCAACATTAAACCTCTGGCTGATGAGAGGTTGCAGCACCCATAACAAGAATTCCCAGGATCAGGGAGTGCTCCTCAAATCCTGAAACAGCCAAAAATTCAGGATCTGAACTCCAGCAGCTTCCATGTTTCTGAACCAATGGCGACAAGAATTTCATGTTATTTCACGTTGCTTAATAAAAGGTGAATAAAAACCAGGACAGGACACAGGGAATGGCTTCCCACTGCCACAGGGCAGGGATGGATGGGATCTTGGGAAGGAATTGTGTGGTGAGGGCCTAGAATAGAATTCCCAGAGCAGCTGGGGCTGCCCTGGATCCCTGGCAGTGCCCAGGGCCAGGCTGGACAGGGCTGGGAACACCCTGGGACAGTGGGAGGTGTCCCTGCCATGGCAGGGGTGGCACTGGATGGGCTTTAAGGTCCCTCCAAACTAAACAATTCCATGCTTTCATCATTATTATTACTATTACTATTATTACTATTATTATTATTATTATTATTATTAAAATTCAGGGGAACTGGGTAGAGACCCTGCCTGCTTGAGGGGCCATAACTCAGGCTCCATCTCTCAGAGACTCTGACATTCCAGGACACACAACCCTGCCCCATCCCCCAGGGATTACAGAGGAGAGGTCTGGGGTTTAACATTCATTTGTCCTGTTCTCATCAGGACATTTGCTCTCATTCATGGTTTAATTATGAGGCTGTTCTCAGAGCACAGAACTGGGACCATTTCCTAGTTACAGGCAAATATGAGGAAAAGCTGCCAAACCTTAATCAAATTTGTTCATTAGGCAGCAAGAATTATTTAGGAGACTTTTCAGTTTGCTTGCTCCCCCAAGCAGAGCCAGAAGCCCCTGGAAGAGATTTGGGAGGCATTTTGTTGGAGCTGCTGTGCCCTGAGCTGGCTCCGTGGCTCTGGCTGAGTCAGCAGCAGCAGGGAGCACTCCCGAGGGAAAGGGGCTTCAAGGAGACAGGGAAGGACATTCCCATCTGCCATCCTCCTTGGATCCCCCCAGGCACAGCCCTGCCAGCAGCAGCTGCTCTCCACACTGGTGGCAGTGTCTCCATCCTCATCCTCAGCCCTCACCACTCCTGTTCCTAACGGGAAAATCACAATTTTTGGGATGTCCCAACAGTTTCCAAGAGCAGCACTGCAAGAAATGATTCCTACCACGCTTCCTATCATGATTCCTATCAAGAAATGATGCCTATCACTTTTCCTATCATGATTCCTATCAAGAAATGATGCCTATCACTTTTCCTATCATGATTCCTATAATGAAATGATTCCTATCACTTTTCCTATCATGATTCCTATCAAGAAATGATGCCTATCACTTTTCCTATCATGATTCCTATAATGAAATGGATCCTATCACTTTTCCTATCATGATTCCTATCAAGAAATGATGCCTATCACTTTTCCTATCATGATTCCTATCACAAAATGGATCCTATCACTTTTTCTATCATGATTCCTATCACGAAATGGATCCTATCACTTTTCCTATCATGATTCCTATAATGAAATGATTCCTACCACTCTTCCTATCTTGATTCCTATCAAGAAATGAATCCTGTGTGAGGTTGGCCAACCCAACCCTGAGCTGTGGCACACTCAGCCAAAACCACCCACAGAGCCCAAAGCACCAAACCCACGTCTGGCAGAGCCCCACTAAAGCCAACAAGTTAAAAAGGCTGATTTTAAGATAAATTTCTCTCCTGAAACCGGGTACTTGCCATGGCTGGATGAAGGACCCAGTGGACAACACCAAGTGGGGTTTGGATAGAACTGGAGTCAGAGGGAACAAGACTCAGAATAAATCAGCAGTGATGATTTTTCAGAATAAATAGTAATAAGGAGATGATCTGTGCCAAAACTACACCCAGGAAAACAAGATTAATTTTTGTGCTAAAACAACAGTCTCCCTACAGATCTGAGAAATGGGAAGTGTACCTCTCAGGCTTGCCCTGTTCCAGCAGAGTGAGCCACCAAACTCCACCCATGAGGGACCTGTGCCTCCCAGAGCCAGCCTGGGCTGGTGACACACACGGGGCAGGGACAGCTCTGCAGGAACTGGGGCCTGAGGAGACTCTGAATGTGTTTTATCCTCAAACTCCCCTTCTCTGCTCACTGCCCCTCTCCTGGTGGCTCCTCCCCCAGCTGAGGAACCTTTGGAAGAGACAAAGCCTGGCAGAACATGGCCAAAGGTGAGGCAATGGCTTTCAGAGCCTTTTCCCCCCAAAGAACAGAGAGTAGATCAGCTCCTTTATCAGCTGTGGGAAGGCCAAAGGTGTCCCCAAGCTCAAGATGGAGCAGTCTGTCCCTAATTTCCCTAAAACTCGCCCAAACTGAGCTTGGACACTGTCTCTCCAAGGGTTCCTGCCCAGCAGCTCAGCAGAACATCCCCAGGAGCCTCTGAGCACATCCTGCAAGTCAACCAAGGGATTGCTGAGGCTGGAAAAGCCTCTCAGACCAGAGTCCAACTGTCCCCAGCACTGCCCCACGTCCCCAAGGGCCACATCCACAGGGCCTTTAACCCCCTCCAAGGCAGGGACTGCAGCCCTGCCTGGGCAGCTGTGCCAGGGCTGGAGAGCCCTTTGGGGAGCAAGTGGGAATGGTTTCCACTGCCAGAGGCAGGGATGGATGGGATACTGGGAATGAATTGCCCCTGGCAGGGTGGGCAGGCCCTGGCACAGGTGCCCAGAGCAGCTGGGGCTGCCCCTGGATCCCTGGCAGTGCCCAAGGCCAGGCTGGCCAGGGCTTGGAGCAGCTTGGGACAGCCATGGCAGAGGGTAGAATTAAACTGAATGCCATCCTGGACCCCTGTGACCTCAGCTCCAGCTGCGGGACACCCCTCAGGTGACACGGGGACACTGAGCAGTCAAGGCTGGAGGAGCCCAAAGAGGCTCCAAAGTCTCCATCCAAGGAAGGGACACA